CCCTTGAGTCCGCAGGCCGATGCTCTATCCACTGAGCCAAATTGGTTAGGGCAGCCGTGGGCAAACTACGGCCCGCGTGCTGGATCCGGCCCATTTGAAATAAATAAAACTAAAAAAAAAAAAGACCGTACCCTTTTATGTAATGATGTTTACTTTGAATTTATATTAGTTCACACAAACACTCAATCCATGCTTTTGTTCCGGCCCTCCGGTCCAGTTTAAGAACCCATTGTGGCCCTCGAGTCAAAAAGTTTGCCCACCCCTGGGTTAGGGCAATTAATTCCCTTTTAATGTGCACAAATTTCGTGCACTGGGCTACTAGTAAGAATATAACACCAGTTAGCAAAAATGCTCTCCGGGTAAATAAAACAGGGTTAGGGAAAAGGCAGGGGTGGGGCAGTGGGGTCTTATTTCAGATCAGATGTCTAGGGAAGGCCTTTCAGAGGCAGCCGCATCTGAGTAGAGATCTGAATGAATGAGCTCAAGAACCTTGCAAATATCCAAAGAAAGGAATTCCAGGTGACAGAGTTGGCACGTGCAAAGGCCCCAGGGTCCAGCGAACAAAAGTGTGAATGCAGAACATGCAGCCAAGAGAAGGAAGTTCTTCAAAGAGGTGTGAGGGGTCATGTGTGGATGCTGCCAAGAATGGGCCCAGAGCTGGTGGGTCAATGGAGACCTCCTCCTCCACCAGAACAGTCCAGTGGCGAGGTCTGAGTAGAAACCTGACTGGTGTGGGGAGAGGAGAGACTGGAAGGAGAGAAGGCGTGGAGAGCTGATGGAGCAGTTTTAATGTACCAGGGAGCAGACAAACGGGCCAGGTGTGAAAGAGATGAGGATTCTCAATGAAGGCGTTGCATGCTGGGACATGACTCCCGTAATGCCCTGCTCCAGCCCTACAGGTCTTTCCAGTGAGTGTCCACCCCACCTCCTGTCCATCAGCCATCGCAGGGTCCAAGGTCCTGGGGCCGGTGCATTGAGAAAACCTACCAGTAACTCTGCTCTAAGGAACCCTGGCTCCTGTCTCCATGAAGATTCCATGGAGAAGACTCTAGCCTTGGTTCATGCACGAGCCAAATGCGGAAGCAAACGGGGCAAGTGACCCTGACATACCACCTGGGAAGGTTGGCCTCTGGAATCAGATGCTCTGATACCTCCCAGTTCCAGCCACAGATTCCATCTCCCAGAAGCATTCATTGAGCTCCCGCCCAAGTCTGCCCTTCCCTCCTTTCCCATGGGAGGTGAGGTGTTGAAGCTGCCGCTCTAACTGCTGTGCTGCTGTCATTCCAGAGGTGTGCCGTGTGCTGTGGCAGCACAGGTAAAAAGGAGGTGAGCATTTCAGAGGCGGGAACGTTTGAATTGGGCCTTATGGGATGCACAGGAGTGTGTCAAGTAGAACAAGAATTCCAGGCAGAGGGAAGAGCACACGCAAAAGCTCAGAGGCAGGTGGACCAGCGTGGTTGGGAAATGAGACAGTGTGTGGAGCCCAATTATGAAGGGATTTGGACACCTTTCTGTGGAACTGACATAACATGACCAGAGCTGGATCCTGCCACCCTCACTTCAGGGGCCCATGTGCTGTGCGGAGTCCAATATCTTACCTGAAGAATCCCCAGATGCCCAGGCGGTACTGAATGATCACCACCACCACGTTTTCATGGGCAGAGAGGGCCAGCCCATCATAGGTTGATGCCCCGCCTACCACCAGACCTCCTCCATGGATCCACACCATCACCTGGACAGGGAGGAAGCAACCACACAGGTCACAGATAGGAAGCAGAGCTGGGAAGGACCTCCAAGGGTTGTCTGGTTGATCTGGACTCAAGGAGGCTGTTCTCTGAAGCTCATCAGCCCCCAGCAAAGGTGGGGCAGGCAATCGCTCTCCTCCCCACTCCCCCAGCTGGGGCCAGGCCACCCCCCACCCATGCACCTGGCTGCCCCAGCCTTTCTCTCCAGTCCCAGTGCTGCCTGCTCCCAAGGCTCTTCATGCTGAGAACAGCATCACGGGAACAGCCAAGGACAACAGGGTCATCTTCCCCCAAACACTCCCATGATACTCATGCCTGGGCCCCTCATCCTCTCAGCAACTCTGCCTGGCCAGGGCTGGAGGAGTTCTGCTCTGTGCCCTTGGATTTCAGCATCATTAGTCAGCTCTTTTGCAGTGAATTAAAGTCCTCTCGTGTGTGTGAATGACTATCTCAAGAAGCACCCATGCCCCCAATGGTATCTCTTCCTCACATCCCTCCCTCTGCACCCCAGGGACTGCCCCCAGCAGACCTACCCCCACCTTCGGGCTGCCCGTCGCTGGGCCTCTGCCTATTGAGGAAATGTTGCCTCACTGGGACATCGCCCCAGCCAAAGACAATTAGGAAGGGAAATTAGCTCAAGAACATCTCAGATATTGAGGCAAAGACAAAGACAAAGGACATGGCTTCTTGGACTTCCCCCGACTCTGCCTCCACACCTCTGTGCCACCCTGGGACACTGGTCAGAGCAACATCTTTGCGGCTGACAAACACCACCCATTGGCTTGATTTTTCAGAGAACCCTTGCCCTGGTCCTGCCAGGGTGGCCTCGCCTTCACTGTTTCTCTGTCTGTAAAGGGAGGGTTGGGGTGTTGCCTTCTCGGTGAGGTTCCTTCAAGCTCTAACTTGACTGGAAAGCAGGCCTTAGCTTCTCTGGCAATCAGATGCCTAACCTTGCAACTATCAGTAGTCACGCTTGTCCCTCTGTTCGCATGAGAGAACGTGGAAAGAACTGACGATAGGTTACAGATGTACAGCAAAGTCCCCGGGAGGCACCATGACTATCGCCGGGGGAAACTGAGGGATGGAAAACATGTGTTTCTTGGGGTCACGTGGCCTGGCCAGGGAGAGCAAAGGAAGCCCGGGGCCCCTGAAATAGCCATGGCTGGGACACTCCCCCACCACGCTGCCTTCCTCCTCCCCAGTCCACACCAGGAGATCCCTCCGACGTGGAACGCACACCTTACCGGCAGCCTGCTCTTCTTCTTCAAGTGTGCGGGAGTGTAGATGTTTAGGTAAAGGCAGTCTTCGGAGAACTTGAGAGGAATCTTCGCCTTTCTTTTGGTAAAGAGCCTTGAGAGAACCTGGTCCGACGGGGCATCTTGGGAGCACCTTGAGGAAGTGGGGGGAGGGGGAGAGAGATATACTCAGGTTCAGCCAGAGCTGTGCACAGAGCCGTGGCCTGGGAGCTCTGTGCTCGTGCAAAGCTGCTCTTACCAGAGAGAAGACGTTGAGTGGGTAGGAAGCCATGAGCGGGGGCCCTGGGCCTCACTAAAGCCTCCCAGCATCATGCATAGCGAGAAGGCCTGGCTCCTCTCCTCGTCCTGGCAATTTCTGATGCACCAGGTCAAGGACAGGAGGCTGCCGAGCTACTGCCCCCCTGGGCGATGGTCGTCCTGACACCCTGAACGCAGACTGGCTCTGGGCTGGGCTCCCATGGAGGGTGCAGTGGGGCCGTGCACCTCCACCAGGTAACCCAGGTGGTCGAGTCCACAGGAGACTCCCATTCACTCAAATGGCAGCAGATGTGTGGGGTTTGTGACAGTTCAGGGGTGAAATATTTGCAGGGCGACATCAAGAGAACTGCTGCAGCCCCTGGTTTCCGAGGTGACCTTTGGTGACAATATGATAATTGGTGAGTCCTCCCAGGGAGTCAGGCATTCACTACTCCTTGTGACCAGGTAACTAGATACACCTGGGAACTGAGAACTTGCCAGTTCCACACCCCAAAGCACTCCCACCCACACACCTCCTGGCTCACCCCACTCTCCAAATATAGCGAAGTCCAAGTCAGGAGAATAAATAGAGTCAGTACCTCTGATCCCCATCAGCTGCTTAATTTTTTAAAACATATATTTTATTGATTTTTTACAGAGAGGAAGGGAGAGGGATAGAGAGTTAGAAATATCCATCAGCTGCCTCTTGCACACCTCCCACTGGGAATGTGCCTGCAACCAAGGTACAAGCCTTGACTGGAATCAAACCTGGGACCTTTCAGTCCACAGTCCAACGCTCTATCAACTAAGCAAAACCAGTTAGGGCAGCTGCTTAATTTAAACAAAAATTTTTTGCCAAAGCACTTAGTATCCTATCTATACTAATAAAAGGGTAATATGCTAATTAGACCGGATAGAACGGACATCTTCCCGATGTCCTTCCAAACAAAGCTGCAGTGGCTGCGAGGGCCGAGGAGGGCCAGAGGCCGGCAGTGGCTGAGGGACACCTCTTCCCAGTGCACGAATTTTCATGCACCGGGCCTCTAGTTCTAACATATTACATAATGTATGTATTAATTTGCATGGTGTTTATCATCTATCTCTCCCAGCTGGAACACAAGCTCCATGAAGGTAGGAATATCTGTTTCCTTCACTAATGGAGCCCAGGAGCCTAGAACATGCCTGGCAGACAGTAGGTGCTCAATAAATATTTGTTGGATAAAGGGTGCTAGCATGCTGTGGGAGCTCTGGAATTTGTTGTTTATAACTATATTTTAATTGATTTCAGAGAGGAGAGAAGAGGAAGAGACAGATAGAAAAATCAAGGATGAGAGAGAATCATGGACTGGGTGCCTCCTGCACACCCCATACTGGGGATCGAGCCCGCAATTCGGGCATGTGCCCTGACCCGGAATCAAACTGTGACTTCCTGGTTCATAGGTTAATGCTCAACCACTGCGCCACCCGGGCTGGGCTGGAATGTTTTTAAGGATCTACCTTAGCTTAAGGATCCAGAACAATGGAGAAGGCACTCAGAGGCATGCCTTGGCGCTTGCCCGCATCCCTTTGAGGCAAACGTTCCACTAAAAGATGCCAACACTTACATAGGAGGGTAGGAGGTGGCGTTCTTCACGAAGGTCCATGGCTCTGCAGGCTGCGGAGGAGCAAACCTCAGGGGTCCGAGCGGCGGCTTGGCAAAGGGGACTCCCAGGAAAACGGCCACGGGCTGTGCAAAGCCTTCTAGGCTGACATACTCCCCCAGGACCTGGCCCTGCA